TCTCAAGTTAAGGACTAAGCGTGACGAATAAAACGTGACGTCTAAAGGTAAAGATTAAAGTGTAACTTCTAAAGGTGATGAATAAAGGCCAAAATTACTTTGGCCTTCAGGGACAAGCAATTAGTCACGTTGCTCGACTCACAAAAAAAATCCGCACAAGGCGATTGGGTGCTAAAATAACGGATTGGCCACCCTAGATCTATGAGCGAAAACTAGACAACTCAGAAAATCGGCAAAATGTGCCTGAGGAATTTTCCCGAACACTTAATCGTGGAAAGTCCTCGACCTGAATGACCTCTGCTTGTCCCTGCAATGTCCTTTAAAAAGTCTCTGTCAAAACTCCAAGGTGGAAGGTACTGGGGATTTTGATGGTAGTTGGGGCATGGTACTTATTCAAATTAAGTTAGTACCGGTCACTGACCCTATTTGGAGCGCTGTCAATCTAGTCAATCTACTCGGATCAGACAATCAGCTGTTCCAATGTAAATATTGTAATTTTATTTATTAATAAATTAACTGACTATTTATTTTAACCCTACCAAAAGGAAATCAATTCCATTATTAAACCTCTAACTTAATAATTCTGGGAAGAATGAAAAGTTTAATGAAAAGTGTGACCACAATTATCGGATAGAAAACAGTAGCTTGAGGAAGGTATGCTATTCAGAGAGGTGAATAAGCTTATTTCCTTTTATTTTGGTGCGGGAAAAATCATCCCGTAACAAACGTTGGTGCTGTCCTTGTTCCTGCTGGGTATGAAGTAAGCAGGTGATTTCTAAAAACCGAAATATTTCTGAAAATACAGAGGTTGCTAATTTGGGGATTGGAGAACATTGAAGCACTAACCATTTATCTGTAACTGAACGTTGGTGCTCCCTTATTCCTGCTGAGTGTGAAGTAAGCAGGCGATTTCAAAAAACCGAGATATCTCCGAAAATACAAGGTTTGCTAATTTAAGGATTGAAGCACATTGAAGCACTAACGCAGCGCTAAACAATTACGTAAAATTCAACTTTTGTGCTTCAAGTGTGTTTCACGATCATCTGGCACTTAAGGTTGCTGACCGTCTGGTAAAAACCAAGATCAGGAACTGGTCCAACAACCAGTTTCGAAACGAATGGTTGAATGAAAGAGCCCTCAAACAGGATCTTTATATAAGGTCCCTCAAACTGCGAAGAGGCAAAAAGTCTTCGCAAACTGAACAAAAGCCAACCGAGCCATTACAGGGTTGTGTTTAGAAATAGCCCTCTGGGTGTGAGGGTAACGCTAGAGTAAAGTCTGTTTTTTTTTTAAAGATAATTCCCCAAGTCAAAAATATAGTAACTATGTTGGCAACACAAGCCTTTTCTACATAAAAAATTTGAAACATTGACAATTTTACTTTGTATTGCCAACATAATGTCAGTTTAACTTTTATCTTTAAAAAAAAAACAGATTTTAACTCTAAATCGTTCATAAACTAACAGGTGCTTACTCGGAGCGTTACGCTGAAATCGTTCAGAAATTGAGAGTTGACCTGCCAAGAGTACGCCCAAATTACCCTACTCAGGGACTGGGTTGAAAAACGCCCCGCGGTTTTTACCAAGTTTGACGTGATTTTAAGGTTATTTTCATACTGTAATTTTCATAAAAGACTGTTTTTTTTTTAAAAGATAATTCCTCAAGTCAAAAATTTAGTAACTATGTTGGCAACACAAGCCTTTTCTATACAAAGCATTTGAAAGCATTAACAATTTTACATTGTATTGCCAGCATAATGTCATTTTGAATTTATATCTTTAAAAAAAAAAACAGACTTTATGATTATTCTTGACATTTAGGGCGAATCCTCACGGGCGTAATTGACGTAAGCGTAACTAATCACGTGATTTAATTTGTGCGATTTCATTGGCGGTAGTGCAGCCATCTTGAATTTTTGACATTACGCTGCCGCTACGGCAAAAAGTTGGGTTATGTTGAACTTTTCGGCGTAATCGTGGCGGAGTTGTGACGTTTGTTTTTGTAACCAAGTTATCAGTAGCATCCTGCAAGAATCTCTTGATTTTCCGAAAATATATTCGTCGCATTAGTTGCATTTTTTTCTTAATATTTTTGTATTTCCACGTATATTTTGTAAAGTTCTTTGAGGCGCCTGAGCAAGTTGCTTTTAAAACTCAAAGGACAGCTTTTATGTTTAACAACTAATGCTCCCATGATAGGTACCTAACAAACTTCTACTCCTCATCATTCTTTATTTTATTTTGTTACTATCACTGTCCTAAGAAGTATCACAGAAAACCAAAGGAAAAACTACAACAATAAATAAGTAAATTTGAATTACAAACCTGACAAAAAGTAAACAAGACATTTGGGACTTTTAGGAACAGGTTAGAAAATTATTTGTGTGCCGATTGCGCTAATTACGCCCGTGGGGATTCGCCCTTACCGCAACGCTCCAATACGTTCAGAAATAGCGCACCCAGATTGCACTCCAAGTGATGACGTCAGAACACTCTGACAAACAACTACTCTACCTTCACACTCCATATCTTAACGCACTCCAGCCGTCCTGACGGAGCACTGGGTGGTCAGATTCCATCTGCACAAAATCTGTCTCAGTAATAAAGACGAAAAGCAGGTGCAGCGAACTACACTGAGAAAAGTCCCTGGAGAAAATTCTTTGCTGGTTTTTTTTTAGCTGTTACAGTGGAAAATGTTTTAGAGGTAGCAATGTTATTTTGCTTCTACAGAAAAGACCACTTTGCTGAAACTACTTTATTGAAACTGCAAAGATATTTCTTATTCCAAAACCAAACTTTGCTGTTATAGCAAAATTAAAATTTTATGAAAATATTTCTGCTTCTCCGAAATAGAACTTTTCTAAGATAGATAGATACTTTACTGTTGCAGCAAAAAAAAATTCCTGTAATTTTTGTTATTGTTGCAGTAATGTTTTTTGCTACCCTAGCCAAATAACTTAACTAAAAATACCGTTCGGACATTTCCGTGATTTCTTCGGGTCCAAAAATAACCGATAAAATATGTTTCGTGTTCATTTTCTTCCATTTTAGTTTAGTAGCTAACGCCGTACGGTGTGGATCGTGGATGCTGTCGAGTCAAGTCGAGTGTCGGTCGCTGGGAATCTTTTTGGAAATGGTGCCAGCGCATCCATCAAAACTAGCAGAAACAACTCTAGCGCCAAACTTTTCATGAATTGACATTATTTCAGATCAGGTAATGAAAGTTTAGGGGTTTAAATAGAGTTTGTTTATCTCCTGGTTTTGTTATGATGGACGCGCTACTACATATTTCCAAAGATTTCCAGCAAAATATTTTTGCTATTGGTGAGACAAATAACTTCCCATGGCTAATAAAACACTTGGCTGATTCTGGCAAGAAATTTTTTGTTCTGAGACAAACGCTTTCCTATTTCAGGAAGCATTTCTAATAACAACAACAAATATCTTTTCTGTCTTAGCAATCTACTTTTCAATAGCAAAAAGGATGTTTTTGAGGGTATATAACCTCTTTTCTAGGACAGCATAGTTACTTTCCTACGACAGCAAAGTAGCTTTTCTATGCCAGCAAAGTGACCTTGTAGAAACTGTGAGTAAATTCTTTATAAAGAACGGTGCCAGTAAAGTTATCTTTTCGGCGGTAGTAAAGATCTTGGCTGTCCCCTATGTAGCCAAAATTTTTGGCTACGGCAGCAGAAAAATTAGCTATGACAATGAAAAAATTTTCTCAGTGTAGATGAAACTACCGAGCATAATAGGTCTGCGAGTATGTCGCAGTCCCAGACTACGATACTTCAGGTACAGGTTTCTGGAACTTGATGAAATTAAGCCTTTCCGACCTGAGCGGAAATGCACCTTTCTTGAAGGTTCGGGCTCCTAAGGTAAGACAAGGCTGCACCAAGATGGGCATAGCACAAACGGCCACATGCATCAATCAATCAGGTTCAAAAATGAATGAAATTAGTGACAGTGCCAATTTCAACAACCTTATCAGCATGAGAATAAAACAATATCCACAGAACCAAGGAGGAGAAACATCCAAAAATCTATCGCAAAACACAAATGGCATACCTACTGGTTAGCAGAGAGGTAAAAGTTAAGTACAACATTGGTTCAAAAAAAAAAAAAAATCAATAACGCTGCATTAAGGAAACGGATATATTTTCAGAAAACCATCAGTTGATATAGGAAAATTGTGCCTTGCCTCAAAATTAAAAACCAAGATAATGGAAGTCCAGAACTCAAATATGGTTATGGGAGCATAAACTAGAATCGTATCTTCTAACCAATTTCTGTCAGCTTAGTTTAATACATAATGTCCTCAAAAATTCATACCCTCAATCTGTCTATAAGTTCGAGTACACTCTCCCAATTTAAAAAAACTGCATGCTTTTAATTGACGTGTCTCGTAATACCTGGTGTGCGCGCGCAACTCGTGGGTTGCAGGTGAGCGTCCAATTAAAATCTAGTTTGTTACGGGCTTGCGTCATATTCGTATTCAGGGACGAGTTCATAATTAATCGTTCCTTCTTTCTTTGCAACGTGTAATTCGACAAAGAGCAAACTAATACTTTACGTATTACTTGAACTTATCGCAGTGTCGTTTAAGGTTATGTAAGATTATACTTGACATATTCCTTGGCAATTTTATTGTGCGATGTTGCCGGATGGAACATTTATCAAAATAAAAGTTCCATCGATGTTAACATACACTTCAAAGCTCTTCTTTTGTCGGATTTAAGGCGTTGTAAAACACTTGACAATATATCACTTCTTTAATGTTATAATGTTCGATTTGTATTGTCTACATTTGTTCTGCAACAATACAATCTGGCTACACTGCAGCCACGAGTTGCGCGCGCATGTCATTTTTTATTACTTTCTAACTTGTATTTATTACAATTAAGCTCTCTTTTTCTATTTCTGCGAGACACGTCAATTGTTTATTTTCTATTTTAGCTGTGACAAGCGAACTGACTTCAGCCCTCCAAATGAACATCATAGGCCAAACAAAAAATATCTATTCCGTTCTGGAACATTGCAAAGACATATATCCGTCTTTGTTCGATAAAGGCTGTAATACTCAATTATTGTCTTCCTTTGATAGTATAAGTCCGGATGAAAAAGAATATGGTGTTGTTAATTTGGAATTCAGTGCTGAAGAAGATGCTAATAAGGAGACTAATAATAATTTTATTATAAATAGTGCTTCCCAATACCTTAATGCATCATCACTAGAAATGCAGATACCTCAAGTTATAGAAGAAAATCTTCAAAGTTTGAATCCAAGGTCTCCATTGACACCAGAAACTGTCCGTTTGGTTCTGGAATCGGTTTTTCAAAGAATTTTTGACACAGATAGGTCTGGAAAACACAATTTTTGATAAAGATTAATAAATCTATTGCTTCAGATCCAGAAGTCCGGAACGTGTTCGCATAAATTCACCCCTCAACAGGACTGATATCGAACAAATCGTCACTGATGTCTTGAAAGATTCTATTAAGTCTCCTAGAAACTGTGGCGCAGGTGAAGGAGATCTTTCCAGGAGCGTACCGGAGCATGTAATAAGGTTAATTTTTTTCAGGCAGCATCTTCTTCCACTTCATTTATCAAATCTATTTTTTACTCATTCCAACAATTTCCATATTTGAGAAATGAAGACTAGACTGTTAACAGTTATATGAATATTTTTTAGGAGTCATGATGCTAATTTTTTGATAGACTTCGCGAAACTAAAAAGCGATTTATTGCACGGCGACAATGAAAGGAAAATAAGGATATTGCAAGCGCTCAGATGGGTAAGCGACATCTTGTAACCTTAGTATAACTAAATGGGTTTTTAGCAATGACATCTTAACACAGATAGACACGGCATCTCAAACATAAACATAATGATGTGTGTTGTCATGACAAGACCCCCCATGGGCCAGGGGTGGTAAGCTGCTCGATGGGGGTCATGGTGGGGATGCATCAGAGGTGTAAACAAGACCAGCCTTCTCATCTGAATCTACCTGCCTCTAACTGATTTGATATACATGTTGACATGCCAATCGAATATAGCGCGTGTGTTCCGTTTGTTTCAGAAAACCGACGTTGTCATAGACTTGGAAGCTTTAGTTTTTTGAAAGCAGAGTCATAACAGGATAAAAGCAATCAGTAACAAATTGGCAACCTAATTGGAGGGGATAAACCGCAGGTGGCTCAATCTCCTTCATGTTAACGATACAAAATTTTGTTTACTGTAACGTCTATCTATCTATCTATGTTAATATGTCATTTTATGCCCCATTTAATGACGTAAAAAAACCAATCCAGCGGTCATAAGAAACAACAAAGTTGGCTATGGTTGCAAAAAAAACTAGAATGCCTGTAAAAATTTGTAAACGTCATTCGATTGTCCGTAGTCGCTAATACAAAACTACCGAATTTTAATTAATTTGATTACAAAATGGCGACGATATTTCAATTTCTCAAAAAACACAATTTTTTATTTTTTTTTTTCGATATTTTGAAAACCGCTGTAGATATTTCCAATTTTGATGCAGCATCTAATTGGGCTTGGAAAAGCGCAACTTTTTTCCCATTCAACCAAAATTGTATCTCTTACCGTTTCCGAAATCCCCATCATGTAGTAACTTTTATGTGGGACAACCTGTATATTTGATATTTATGCGCATCTAACTTTGGGTTGGTTTCAAGATAACCTGACGTTTTTGAAGAATGGGTCTGCACACAAAATAATATGGTTAGTTATATTTCAGAGGATTACCAAAAACGATACAGTCGCAAGAAACAAAATTCTCGATTTATACATATTCAACGACGTTTTGGATTTATACGCTTGCGTTAGTATTCCCGAAAGGCTTTTACTTGCGTACGGATCAGACCATTACGTAAAAGAATCTACTTGCAGACTAATTAACACCTTAGCTTCATTAAAACAAGGACGAGATTATTTAACAATAGATGAAAGATTACTCAAACGAGTACTAATTAAGAAAGTTAAAGACGTGAGGACTGTGTCTGGAGCAGTTATGAGAAATATGCTGGTAATCTTTTTTTCTTTGTTGTTTTTAAAATATTGTTCACAAATTCTCTAATTTAGGTAGCAACTGTTCAAAAGCTCTCAATCAGAAAACAATGCAGGGTCCAAATGGTTAAAGAAGGCTTATTTGAAGTCATGGTGGACTATTTAGATGAATTTTACGATAAACTATCAAAATATTGCTTGGAATATTGTTCAGCTCTTTTGATGAATTTATGTTTGGTGAGTTTAAAGTAAATTTGACTGTAGTTATTTCAACAAACTTTATATTTCAAGGTAGATCAAGCCAAAGAACGTTCGACCAGACTCCCTAAGAAAATTGTTGGTTTGTTAAGGAAATTTCTTGAAGGTGAAGTCGACTTTTGTCTTCCTTACATCAACGGAGTCATGTTCAGTCTATTCGAAAAAGAAGAAATTGTTTCCGAAGCTACCAATCAGAATTTGGATAAGACTATAATGAAACTCATACAGGTAAGAGCATTAAATCTGAAGTAATTGCCCCAAAAGATGTTTGCTTTTCCAGAGTACGCAGAGCGAAAGTGTAAAAAAACAGCTGGATTTCATTCTCCAATCGCGACTTTTTGGTAAAAGTGACCCGAATATTCACGACGACGATGAAGACAGTAAAGAAGAAGTGGACCTTTTAGAGATTGAATTGGATCAAGACGATTTTATAACGCAACTGCCGTCTGGCGAGAAATTCTTGCAGGAGTATAAGACTTATAGTAATAATATAGGTAGGTTGATAGCGGTTTTTATTGAGACATCTAAAAGACATTCCTGAGATGTCCACAAACGACATTCAAGACGTCTGCTTATGTCTTCAAGGCGTCTTGAAGGCGTCGTATGTTACAAAGCCCAACATCTTTCAGACTTATGCCTAAAGACGTGTTCAGGACTAATATCTCATTATTATTACTACTCATTTCATAACTTTCAATTTTTGTCTTTTCCAAACGCTATAGGCTCTTCTTTAATTATTGATTTCTTCAAATTTGGGCTCAATAAAGCCTGCCTCATCTACTATGTATGTGTAAAAAATTAATTGTCTAGCATGAAAATTAAAAAAGTTACGAATTTTTTACGAAAATCTCTTTTTTGGGGGGAAAAAAATCATTTCTCGAAGAGTAAAAGACGTACAGGGTTGTATGATGGCTCATTTTAAAGCTTGTTCAATGCTCTAAAACTATTGCCAGAGTAGCAAAACCATCCGATCATTAGTTTTCGAAATACAGTGAAATAAACAAAAAAAAAGCTCTATTTTTGCACTAAATATTATTTATAAAATCTCCTTAAAGTAATTAGATGTTGCATTTTTGGTTTTTAGCATCTATAAATGATCCTTAACAATACTGCATCGATAGTTTGCTGTTAAATTTTATGTTACGTAAAAATGTATCTGCCCTCGCCTATTAATTATTAGATGGAAGAAACATTTATCTTTAGCTTCCTTTATTTACGACTAATGTCACCCGCAGGGATTAATGACGAGTAGCGGGATTAATGGTCATTATTGCTCAAAAGTGTCAGTGTCAAACGTGTAGTGCTTGTGGATTTGTATTGAAATGGATGAAATTTTCTATTAAAAATCTCAAATAAAATAATTTGTCGCAAATAAAGTAGAGTATACTACTCGCAATAATGGCTATTATTCCCTCGGAATGTTACTCCCTCGCCGCTAACGCGGCTCAGTTCGTAAATATTTCTCGGGAATAATAGCTATCATTATTGACTCGTGGTATAATCTACTATTAAGTTAAGCTTTGAGGCATTATTTTTTAAAATGAAATAGGTAGGTTAATACCTGTCAGGTGTGTGAAACATAGGTGTAAAAAAGTCTGTCAAAAATGATCAATCAATGTGTCATCACAAAATCCTCTAAAAGTACGGTCCACATCAACTAGTAAAAACCGTTGTTTCACTAGTCCTAAATATTGGGGATTGAGTGAGCATTTTCTTCCCCATATTTTTGATCCTTTGAGCCGGATATTAAGTTAGGTATCAAAAACCCAATAACTACCAGCAAAGATTACAGCCCCATGAAAATTATTTGAAAGTAGAAAAATAATTTTTTTTTTCTTATTGGTACCCAACTTTTCAAGTGAGGAGTGACCGTGAAAAATAGTATTATATAGCCTATCCAAAACACGTGACTTTGACAAGAAAACAAAGGGTTTGTGTGCCTCATGGCGGACATTTTAATTTAAATTTGACAGCATCTTGGATAGTCGCCTATCTAAAACATGTGACTTTGACAAGCAAACAAAGAGTTTGTGTGCCTCATGGCGGACATTTTAATTTCAGTTTGACAGTATCTTGGATAGTCTAATACATTACCCTAGTACTATGGATTTTGGTAAGGTTGTTCTCTTTTGCGTGAAGTTTTTTGGGTATTGCTAGATTGAGTATTGGTAGTAATTAATAGTTACCCAGCATTGCTCTTCTTCATCGATAGCTCATTTGATTGCCAAATTTATAAGAGGAGTTTGAGGTTTCACATAGTTAATCGTCATCCACCTGTCATCCTAGCTACCAGCTACCTATATAAATATGCCCTATTAATCCTGATTATACTCCATAAAATAGACTGTTGAACAATGGAATATTAAATTAAACTCTCTTTTCTCTTCAGTGTTTGTATAGCCAGAAAACAAGTTATATTTTATTTTACTATTTATAGAAATAGAATTTTATATTTTCATTTTGTTGTGCGCTATATAAATAATACACATATAATGAATGTACTCAAGAAAGAAAGATGTCATGTCAAATCTTCTATTACGCGAAATCAAAACTGGGTTGATGCCAATAAAGTTATAGAGCGAAATTCTCACACCTTTTTATTGAGATTGGAATATGTAAAGACTGGACTTACAAAATATATGGACATAAAAGACCAAATAGAAGATTTGGATGAGCATAATGTAATTACAGAGAATAAGGGAAGCATTTGAAAATAAATGTTTTCATCTAGTTGCAGAAATTAGTTCTATAATTGACAACATAAATTTGGTTTCTGCATCAAATATGCAACAGGTTAAATCTGTTAATCCACAGTCTGTGAGGCAGACAGTTGAATTGCCAGAAATTTTTGACAGACATTCAAAAATTCATGTACAGGGTGGCCCAAATTCGAGCCTCATCATTGGGATCTCGGAAACCGTAAGAGATACAGGGTCGGTCAAATTATGGCAAAGTTGCGCAATTTTATGACCAATAGAATGCCGTTTTGAAATTAGAAAGATTCCGAATATTTCCGGAGATATTCGGAAAAAACCGAAATTTTGTAGAATGGTTTTTATTTTTTCCCGGGCTTATTTGAAGAGCAATTTTAAAATAAAGGTCACTTCATCATTGTCACTTTTTCCCCTTTAGAAGATGGTGTTACTAAATTTAAAATCCGACGTTTTGTCTTCAGGCAGCCATCTTCAACTTCCTTTTTTCAAATATGGACCTGGATTTTTTATCTGCGATTTTCTCATCTTTAGGCATCCTAAAACCGATACTGTTTATACTTTTTCAATAACACGGTAAAAAAAGCAGGTCCGTTTTCCAAAAAAATAAATTGAGGATGATTTTACAGAAACGAAACGTTGGATTTTAAATTTAATATTGGTTATTAACTACTAGTTAAAACGAAAACAGTATTTCACGATTGACGGTTCAACGTGACACCTTTAGTTAACCAGTAGTTGAATTAACCCAAGGATGCGTATAAGTTAACTATGAGTTAGCTGAAATGCTTCGTTTTTTAGGGCAGTTCAAAAGTGTCAAGTTTGAGAAGGAGAAATTATTCAATGAAAACTTTTGCATTCCTTTTTCCGTTAGTGATACAATTGGAATTGAGATCTGCTTCCACCCTTTCCCAAGCATTTTCTTTTTCATTCCACGTCATTCTATAATGAATTTATATTTTTGCACAAGAGACACCAATAGATATTCTTCTTCCTTTAAAGGAGACCTTCTCTCACCTAACTCCATTTAAACTTAAACAGAAAACCCGAGACAAAAACCAATATTGAATGGGTAGGTATTATATCTGTGAAATTTTAGTACCACTGACAAAAATTAATATAATTATTAGGCAATTCAAACCACGTGACATTCAAGATGGCGTGGCGGCCACATATGGGCCAAAAAACATAAAAAAATATATAATTCCTGCGCGATTTAATAATTTAGGCTCCTAGTCAACAAATATTTTATTAATTAATCAAAATCAAATTTGCAAGCAAAACTCTAAGCAAAATAATTTAAAATACGCATGAAAACATATTCAAAACAAACTGGCTTGGCCGCCACGCCATATTGAATTTTCCTTTTTGACAGATGGATTGAATTGCCTAATTAATGACAAATCACAAAAAGTGACATTATAGTGAAGTACACAGATTAACCCGTCCTAAAGATAGGAAACTTCCATGTGAAATGCTCGTTCGGAGCTGTCTAAAAAATAACACGTAAATATGAGAGTTTCATGACTGCCAAAGCTATGCGGAGCTAGTATAGCAAAGCCACAAGCAAATGTCATCTGTGAATGAATGTAATTTGTCATTATATTTGCCATTAGTCAGCCGTTCGATGTGTGTTACGGCCATTTGCACCACTATAACTTAAGGGATATTTAATCCAAGTGGAGCTTTGAATGTGACTCTCGTAGAAACAAAAGTCACATTCAAAAGCTCCACTCAAATTAAAAATCCCTTAATATCCCTTAAGTGATAGCGGTGCAAATGGCCATCAGTGTTCTTTATTTGATTTTCTATCAATTTTTGGTAAAACTTTGACTTCTTTATGTGTTTTTAACAAAAAAGACCTTATGTTACATGTAAACATTGTAGAAATTGTTTTAGTGATGGTATTTATTTGCAATTTCTGAGATTCACTTTAGGAGTCATTTGTGCACAAGACCTTTTATCAACTTTTTTTTTTTCAATACGGTTTTCTGTTCTTGTGTTAAAGGCTGTTCTGTTAAAGAAGGAAATAGTACTGAAATGTTGGTGTTTTATTTTCAAAACATAAGGTTTAATAATAAGATGAAATTGATTAGACAAATTATTTGAAAAAAGGCGGGAACCACGTGACTACTGCCACAATACTGGACACACCGAAGTACAGTGACTTTATTACCACAGTGGCGACAATTGCGGTCTCATTTTTGATTGGTTCAAAAATCCCATATGTTTATATTGAAAATGCCGCCATCTTGTTCCCAACCTCTTGTTACTTTTAAATATGAATATATAGGATTTAGGTGAACATCCATCATAAAACATGGAAAACAACGTATTTGATGAACCTAATAATGGTCATCAAATATGCCGATTTTAATTTTTTATGATAGATGTCTATTTAAATCTTATATATTAATATTTGAAAGTAACAAGAGGTTGGGAACAAGATGGCGGCGGGAACTCAATTGTCGCCACTGTATGTAAAGGTTTATTTAGCCACTGTACACCGAAGTGCACACTAGCGCCACCATGCTGTGGCAGTCATACAACTCGCTGCATGAGTAAGACAAGGATAGGGAAAAAGGCCTGAGTTTCCTATCTTTAGGACGGGTTAATCTGTGGTGAAGTATAAGGGGGCTTTCTTTATTTTTCAAGGTGATTTTTAAAATGTCAAAAAATCAAGTACGAACCTTTGAGAAATAAAATTCAACCACTAGTCATGTAACCAACGATTGTTTGTTTAGTGTGAAACAGGTTAATAAGCGAAGTTCCAGTTAACCCTTGACCCCTAGTTGACTGACCAGCACTGGTTACTACCGATTGTGAAACTGAGCCTAAAAAAGTATCTGCTTCAATTGTTTAGGCAATACATATAAAGCACTCGAATGCACTTCTCAAGGATGTAGCCACTGCTCCAAAAGACATAACTCTCTTCTACACAAATCCAAAAGTTCAGAATTCCCCGAATGAAAACACAAACCACCTGCAAGGTAATTCACAAAATAGAAATGATATGCCCCTCGCTTTTCACATTATAATAATCAAAATGACCCAGTCCCATTAGCACACTTCTCTCAAAAACTCCAAGCATTGCATAGCGGTTCAACACCCCAAACACTTGAACCATCTAACGATTCTCAGAGATTAAATTCTAACTATCAGGATACTCTATCTTTATCAGTTATGTCCCCAAAAATCTCATGTACTATTGGCCACAACAATGGTTACATTATACTCAAGGAATGGACATGCGGTCCAAGCTAGAATTTTGTTTGATTCTGGAAGTCAAACTTCTTTTATCACTGAGAAACTTGCAAAAAGGTTGCAAAGTTGAACTTATAAAATTAATCTCATCATTTTAGGAATAGCTCAAGGCATAACTATGTCTAATGAAATGACAGATTTTATCATTCCCTCTAAAATTAGCCATACAAAAAGTTCAGAAGGTTCATGTGCTGTATTGAGCAACATTACGTGCAAACTCGCTCAAAGTCTCTATAAATGTTGATTACTTAGAAATCCCCGTAGGAATTTATTTTGCGGATCCCATTTTTTCAGCCTCAATGATATTGACATTCTTATCATTATCAATGCAAATACTTACTCTGACATGCTTTTTTAAGGTTTTATTCGACTTGGAAATAATCTGCTCATTTTGCAAAATACCCATTTGGGTTGGATTATTATGGGTAACATTCCACCATTGAACGCTACCTACTCGAACTCTCGCTCGAACTCTAACCTTAACTCTAATGAAAATGTTTCTCTATGTGTATCTCCAAATAATGAATTGGACAAAATGTTGACTAGATTTTGGAATATAGAAAAAATTCACGAAAAGGCCCCTTTGTCTCTGGAAGATGAACTTGCTGAGAACATTTTTAAGTCCTTGGTAAAGATTTTAGATAATGCCGTTTATCAGGTGTATTTACCTTTTAAAACCCCCAACAAATACCTAAAACTTGGTGACTTATTTTCTGTGGCCCGCAAGAGATTTTTGAACCTAGGAAAACGGTTTGAAAAAAATTCCCTCTCTCTTCTCTTAAAAAATACAAGCGTTGATGGATACGTGGCGCAAAATCTTGGTGAATATGTTCCTCTCTCCTTAAACAATGAAAATAATGAGAATAAGTACTTTATGCCCCACCACTGTGTAATGAGAGAAGCAGGTGTTAGCACGAAATTGCGAGTTGTTTTTGATCTCTAGACCTTCTTCTGGACTCTCCTTGAATGATATTTGTTTAAATGGTTTCCAGGTACAACTTGAATTGTTTGATAATTTATGGAGATTTCGGTTATTTGCATTTGTATTTATAGCCGATATACAAGAAATTCACCGTCAAATAAAAATGAACTCCATATCTCGCATGTCGCACCCTAAATGAAATTGCTCATTCTAATAAAATAAATTATCCTTAAGCGTCGATGCTCTTTAATCTCAATTTTATATAGAAGATATTCTCTGCTCTTGTAACAATCTTGATGTCCTGCACAAGACTTATTATAAGTTTGATACTCTATTCACACATGAGTTTGCACACATAGTCTTCCAACTCTCAAATATTCTTGGATAAGTTCTATAATAATTCTTACATAACAGAGACATCTGTAAATTTTGATACCCTAAATACTGTCCTAGGTCTATTATGGCACCCACTTTCTGATCATTTAATGGTCACACTCCCAAAGACTGCCTATTCTCCCCCTATTACTAAAAGAAAGGTTTTGTCAAGCTTGGCACAAATCTTCCACCCACTGGGATTAATAAACCCCATTATAGTTGTAGGAAAATTTTTCATGCAAAAACTTTTGATCCAAAAACTTGTATGGGATCAACCCTTGGGTGAGCGTGAGTCAGCCGAATGGCTGAGGTTCATTGACCAGATCCCTAGTTTATCAGATTTGAAAATTCCTCGTCACTTGTTTCAAGTTAACCAAATTGTTGCTCTTGAACTTCATGGTTTTTTCTGATGCCAGTTTGAAAGCATATGGAACTTTTTGTATGTAAGACCACTATATGCAAATATTACTGTATCTTCTAATCTGATCACATCCAAATCAAGAATTTCTGCTGTAAAAACGGTAACTCTTCCCAGACTAGAACTTTGTGCCATGCAATTACTTGCTAAACTTACCGGAAGAATAATATCTGTTTATAGAGGAGAAGTTACCATAAACTATGTAGAGGTTGGTTCAAATTGAACACTTTCTTATGGAAACTCCTTTTATTTTTAGAGATAGAAAAAAATAGACCCCCCACTCTGGAGCTCCAATTTTTACTTCAACCGTTCAACCGCTAGGGGGCGATTCTCAATTTTGAGCAATACTATGAAACCTTCATCACTTTTCTGTTTTTAAAAATAATTGATTTCCATAAAGACTTTCTTGGAGCACTTTTTTAAGCAGAATTTTCTATTTGGCTCCGATGTCGATATATTGACCAGAATCCGATTTTTTTCAATAGGACACCCTATATATTAATAGCTTGATATAAATTTCGATAAGTTTATCCCTTGTTACAACAGTTATTGAGAAAAAAAAACACTGTTTTTGTCATAAGAAACAATGTTTGGGTTAGTTTGAAGAAAATACTTTTGTTTTTCAAACTTGGTTTCTGAAAACTCTCTTTGGTACCTCTGTGATTTGGAATTTGGTCTAAATGGTAGATATTTTACAACCAACAGAATATACAGGGTGTCCCACGAGGTTTTTCCCAAATGATATATTCGGAACGCATCATCGTATGTTCCACTGTATAATTTTTTATCATTTTCTTCAACAAAGCCTTAACAAATATTGCATTGCCGACTCTGTAATTTAATTTTCTAACAAAAAATGCCATAATATAACATGAGTTACATTTAGGATTCGAAAGTTGACGTCAGCTGACCGGAATTGAAGTGAAAGTGGTCAAATTGGACGACAAGGGTAAAAGCGGCACAAAAAGGTACCCAGATCCTCAAAATTTTAATTATATTGCATGGCGCGTTCCGAAGTGATTACCTGGGAAAAACGTCGTGGGACACCCTGTATTTTTGCAAGCTCTCTCTTTACTCTCTAGTGCACTCTCCTATATTCCATCGTTTTCAATCTGACACTTTCCGTATGAAGAGCGAGGGGGTGAAGCATATATATGGCAAAAACAGGTGTGACGTCAGGTGACCATTGGCGTTCTAATGTAGGGTGTCACCAGCTCATATTCCTTTGGAGTATTAGATTAAAATATCGACGGACTTCAAATTTGTTTCCATTTTTTGCAACAATTTGATCGTAAAGTTATTTTAACTCAACACAATATTTATTTATTTTTGCAGAAAAATCCTCTCACTCCGTAACGTTTTCTATGACAAAAAGAGAATCATCAAATTCAGCAAAAACATTTTCGGAAGAAACCAAACAGTTTCTACACAAGCCATCTACGGAACGAGGAATTTTCGACACAGTCAAACATAGAAGGTAGGTACGACTAATTCCTACCTTTAAATTTAGGATACTACTTGTGATACGAACCAAAATTGTTTATTTCAGGTATGGTACAACCTGTTCTCAAAATGTATTGAGAAATTTGAACAAAAGGACTCAAAATCAAAGTAGAGCAAGTCGGATATCTGCAGCAACGCCGTTATGCTATATGGAAAATTGTAAAAGGTTACAACATGGTGAGAACTAGTGATGATTTCGATAGAATTAATTTTAAATTGCAAAATACTATGTATTAGGAAAAAATGCTGAATGTTACTGTTCAAAATGCGTCCCGGGCCAAAATAGATACTCTTGCGGATGTTACGAGGCAATAAAAAAAGAAATTGGGGACACTAATGAGGCAGATGGTTATGGTGATCAAAATTTCAAAGTTATTGAGCCCAAAAATAGGTAAGAAATCATCAAAATATTATAAGTTTTTTTCATTTGATATTATGAACCCTTTTCTATGAGTTGATTGATTCAGATTTTTTTGTCAAGTCAGCTCAAATCGGAAATCACTGAAACACCAAGTGCTCTTGGTGTGCAGTCAAATGTTAATATAAGTCAAAGATCAACTGCCACTAGTGCCACTCTTCATCCAAATATTGATACATCCAAGTCTACAAATATGAGACCAAAAACTGACAATAAAGAGGGTTGGTTGTAAATCTTTTGCATATAATTTTTTCAATTTTTTTTTATTTCGTTTGGCACTCAATACTTTTTCTTTGCTCGTAGTATGTTTGTAACAATTCTTATGCAGCACCTATAGAATAGAACTTCTTAAATTGTGTGTTTTATAGTTTACTGAAAAATTGATTAGATCACTTTTAAATTCTAGGTGGTAGAAAAAAAAGTGGATGTAAAGTTTGCGGAGAGAAAAAATGCGAATGTGCTTTCGAATCCAGACCAAAATTATGCAGGACACCTACGTTGTAGATTTTTAAATATAATGTAAATAAAATTGTATTTCTGTAAAATGTATGGTTTTATTTACCGCTCAAAATTCAAATAAACAAAACAAAAATATTTATTTTCTATCAATTATATTTTTCCAAATGTTTCCCAAAATTGCATGATATCGAATGTCGTCCTAATTGTCTGGAAATAGAGCAGGAGTGTCATCCACCGTTCGTCTTTCACAGGAAGCCATTTGCTTTAGTTCAGACTAAAAATTAAAGACTCACTAAAATTTCTCAATGAATAAAAACATTTCTTATTTACCAATAAATACTGGCAGACGTTGTTAGCTGCCATTTTAAAATAAAATTCCGGAACTGGCAAAACAGAATGCCCGTTACGTTTTCCTCCGGAGGCTTCCCAGTTTCTGGAAAACGTTACTTGGGCGTAAGACTGTGTTACCACTAGGAGGATTATCGAAAGAATTATCGGGAACATTCTACAATAGAAAAAAGACAAATTAAAAAAGACTAATAGGCTGATATAGATATTCTTCTTAAAATGTTCTTCACTGCTCTTACATTGTTTGACCAAATTTAAACATTTCATTCAATTGAAAAGTTATCATTATCATCAACAGAAAACGGCACCCATTTAATTCAAGCTACAGTGTAGATTGTTAAAAAATGAGTGACAAGACGTGGGGAAACCAAAAAATCTTATAGATACAATTCTTCTTGTAACATAAAGTATTTCTATTTGATAACATGCCATGACAGTTTTTGAAGTTAAGAAAAATGATACATTACTTAGCGAAAAAAAAAGACAAACTTACTTATTATTAATGACTGTCATTTTTCTGGAATAGGTTCTTCTTAAGCAAAGTAAATCTGTACTGATAAAGAAATCTTCTTAAATCCGATTTTTATACTCCAAGTTACCTACGTATTTATTTTCCACATCATCGGACATTAAGAAATTTTACTTTAGACAAGCGAATTATCAAAGGGAAAGAGGACGGTCTTTTTATACTTTAGGGGTTTCGATTTGCCTTTGTTAGAGAATAACTTTACGATTGGGTCATACATATTTTAAAAGTTTTCTTGTGACTAGTCATGCATATTTATATGTTTTTTTTTTGACTTATTGGGAAAGTGTGGTGCGGGGAAGAATATTTTTTGTTTGATTTCTAAATTCATTTATAATGCTTTACTGAATATGTTTCTCCTTCATCTCGTTTATGTAGATGTTTGTGAGCTACTTTCTCAAACTTAAATACATTTTATTCAAGACACAATAAGAATCACCAAAAAACTACAACTTCGACAGCAGTCGTCTCGAATTTTTTCGAGAATTCGCTACTAGATTATTCCAGTCAATTGATGATATGTGTAGATAGAATTGAGACATACGATCTACGAGCTTTAATTCTATCTCTGTAATTTTGCAGCAATAGATTATTATTATAAAAATTGTGAAAATTTCATTAGCAAAACGTTCGTCATAAACGAATATTTAGAATATTTCTCCAATGACATGCGAAAATCTAGTGTAAAACTAGGAAAATAACATCGGAACAAGCTTGGGGTGATAATTTATCTAATTTTCTCGATGATCAATATTTACATAGAGTACTCAATGTTTAACTGACGATCATAACTAAGGTGCATCAACCCAGCAGTCAAGAAACAAAATAACAATGAATTATGGATTTTTAAAATTTTAAAAACATTGACACAAGGATTTGTTTTATTGCTCCTCATCAGATATTTTTGAAGAGAGAAACACTAGGTATATGGAAATGCCTACGACCGCTCATCGAGGAGAAGATTATAAGCATATAATTTTTTAATTTATATTATGATATGAATAACATTCCTGGCAAGCAAAGAAAATATTATTTAGGGTTTGAGTTAATCCAAAAAGGAACTGTGAAAAAAGTCATTTTAAACATAATAGATTCTAGATGAGATCCTTGTACTTGAATGTCTCAATAAAAAAATTCTACTTAGTAGGTACTTGATATTACATTGTGAAATAGTACATTATATACCTAGGTAGAGAAGTTGGTCATTATATACCGAGCGCTTTTATAAACCGAGACGCGTAGCGCCGAGGTTTATAATGCGTAAGGTATATAATGACTTTCTCTACCGTGGAATATATAGAATTTTTTTTACTACTGCTATAGTAGAAAATAAAAAATAAGTTTGAAATCTGAGCTCAAATTATTTTTTCTAGTTGAAAGTGCTGCCCTCTATCAACATCTATGGTAATTTCCTATGATACATACAGGAACCTGTTTTTTTTTGATTAAATTGACAGTTTGAAATCGAAATTAAATCAATAGAAACCTGTAACGTTATGACAATATCCTTGCGTCATGACGTCATTTTCATTATTGACCTAGGTTTTTTTTCATTATTTTCATTATTAACCTAGGGAGAGAAATTCAATTTTTTCCGAGAAAAATCGATTGAATAATGACTACTTCTCAGGTTAGTAGTAAAAAAACCACTTTTTACACTCGAGTCAAACTACTCAATCCAAAAATTTTCTATCAAACTTGATAGATTTTATAGATGCCCATTACCATCATGTATTTGAATAAGCCTTATCTTAATTGACAAAAATGGCTAATTTGGCTTAATTCAAATGGCGCTTGATTTCAAAGCATATAACTGCTCACAATATTAAACTTAATTATAACGCATATTTGAATCACGTTTTGTCACAAACGTTCTAATTTATTTTATGTACTCAAAGCTTTATACGATTATTGCGCACTCAATAAAAGTGATAAAACAGAATATTGATGTGATCAAAGTCTGATGTGATGAACAAATTTAATGTTTTATTTGAGAGATTCCCACTATCGTTTTTCAAACTACAAAGAAATGCTAAAGCGTATTATTTCATAATTATGCTTACTGAAGCTCAATAGCGATCTTGTAGTTTCGATTTTGATTCGGTCAGTCTTCTGAAAACGCTAAAATAGCGAACATATCTAAATGATATCTACCTCAATATACCATTTTCAACCCTTACCAAGATCGAAAGTATGTACAGGGTGGCCCGTGTATTTTGTCCTATCTCGGTCTAGATGTTTTATGACAAAAAGTTAAATACAAAAGTTGTATGTCCGACAAATACCATTTTAAAGTCACGTGATACTGGTGGCAAAAAACGTATGTCCATTGATTATGTCGTTGATATCACCTACAAAAAGCTACTGGTGGTTAATTACTATTGAATTTTAATATATGTTCCCACTAGCATTTTACAAACGCGTTTCTGAAGTAGTATTGACCAATCAGAGGGCAATTTTAATACTTGCAATTGTTGCGAGACTCACTTTTGTCGCTTCTGCTGTCTGTTGTAATACATTCTGAACTTAAACTGGGTACCCGTTCTCTATTTGCTTCTTTTCGAGTTGGAAAAAGGTTAATAAAGTCAAAATTATTAGCTGTGTTTGTTCGTTGTATTATTTTCGAAAATAACTTTGACAAACTAATGGATGACAGTGACGGATTCTATTTCAGGTAAGAATATTATGAACAATAGTTAGACAGCAATTTTTTTGTCAATTTTACTATCACCGCTGTTTGAGATGTATTCAACAAGGATAGAGAAAAATCACGTGACTTTAAAATGGTATTTGTTGGACTATAGGGTTTAAATCATTATTTTTGTTTTTTTGTATTTGCGCATATACAGTGGGTGTCAAAAAAGTGTGACACATCAGATCTTTGTAAATTAAACCTGAATGTCGACCCTTATCAACTACTTGAAAATCACTAATTGGAAATCCCATTCCAATCTAAACAAAACTTCGACGAATGCAATTGAAATTTCACCAAAAACTATCGAAGAGTTCACATTCATAACAAATCTACCTAACAATACCACATGGACAATGGATAATGCTATATTTCCGTAATGATGACATTGGAATTCAATTAACATTAGTGACAATAATCATCAACACTTAGAGAATAGACGTGTGTAACCACACAAAATCGATAATTTTAGAAGAAAGTAGAAATGAAAATTTACCTCTAGAACCAATCAAACTCAACAACTTTGAATTATTTAACTTTAATCTCAATAGATACCCTTACATTCACAAAGATGAAGTAAATAGGCAAATAGACCGAATGCTTCATGATGGAATCATCCAAACATCTATCGTCCAGAAAGATTCGAAGTAGATTCGTCGACCGAGCTCTGTTATTCTGGAATGGACTCATTTGAAGAAGACATTCGAAAATTTTCTTGTTGCCAACAAGCTTAAAACTGAAGATCTTCCAAATCTATAGACCAATATCTACAATCCCTAAACCTTTTAGCTACTGAATGTAATTTTCAAGCTGTTACTGCAGAAGATCAAGAATGGCTACATCAGGGATACTTTTATAAAAGGCCTAAACAACTCCTCTATACGCACTCGATTGCTTGACAATACAACCCTTAGTCTCAATGAGGCTCATAATCAAGCTCAATCTTTAGAAATGGCTGAAATTCACTCACAAAGCTTCGTACAAAATTCTATCAATGCAACTTCAATTGATTATCCTTCAAATTCTAAGTCAGATCATTCGAATAAAATCTCAGCTACTACCAAAAATCTAGGGAAATGTTGGTTTTGTGGAGGATCATGTCATCCTTGATATCTTTGTCCAGCTTCAAATGCTACTTGTCAAAAATGTTCCAAAAAAGGACATTTCGCCAGAGATTGTAACAGTAAAAAGCATGACTCTAGAACAACGTCAGCTTCCATCGTTACTGCAATTATCGAGACTGCAGCTTCGACACCAGGACTTCGAAAAGCTACAATTGATGCAAAAATTTGTGGACGTCAAGTTTCATAAACGCTTCTCTTCTTGAGCAACTTAAGATTCCACAAATTCCTGCTCAGCAACGAGTGAATATGGCGTCAATATCATTGGTCTCTCAAGTTGGAGGAAGTTGTACTGTGTCACTAGAAATAAATACCCGTACATATGAAAACTTGACATTAATGGTTATGAAAAATCTTTGCTCAGATATTATATTGGGACACGATTTTCTACATCATCATTCTAAACTTGAGATGTCTTTCAATGGAAATCTGGATAGTTTGAAAGTATTCGTTTTCATGCAAGCAGATATTACTCCTGCATCTCTATTCACGAATCTCAATAACACTCGCAGACCTATAGCTATTAAATCTGAGAAACAATCACTAGAAGACCTGAAATTTATCGAACAAGAAGTCCGGATAATGCTTTCTGAAGGTATCAATGAAAAGAGTAATTCACCTTGGAGAGCTCAAGCTTTAGTCACTTCCAGTACAAATCATAAGAGACGCATGGTAATCAACTATGCCCAGACTATAAACAAATTCACTGAACTAGACGCATATCCACTTCCAAACATAGAAGACATTATTTCAAAAGTGTCAAGGTACCAAGTTTTCAGCACTATAGATCTAAAGAGTGCATATCACCAAATTCCAATTCTCGAACATGAAAAACCTTATAGGTACAGCGTTTGAGGCGTGCGGCGAACTATATCAATTCACGAGAATTCCTTTTGGCGTTACCAATGGAGTTGCTAGTTTCCAAAGAGTTGTTGACAGTATAATCAAGAAAGAAAATCTTCAAGGCACATATGTCTTTCTTGATGATATCACAGTAGGGGGTAAGACTAAAGAAGAGCATGACAAAAATCTTCAAAAATTCTTCAAAGTTCCTGAAAAGTATAAACTTACTATAAACTCTACTAAATCAAAGTACAGACTTAGAAAAATAAATCTCCCAGGATATGAAATTGAAAATCAACAAATCAAACCTGATCCTGATCGACTTCGTCCATTCTTAGAATTGCCTCCACTAGGAGATTTT